ACTAGAGTGTGTTTTTCTTGTTTTTGGAAGACTAGAATACCTTTTGTTCTGTTATGAGGCCACAGAGCTTTGCTTTAGTAAAAATGAAAATTTTTGTTTCTTAGGTACATCAGCTTGTACCACTGTAATACATCTATTTCTTTGTGACTTATTTTGTACAAAATATATTATCTATTTTAAATAACATTTTAAATAAAAGATAAAAAGAAGCATACGGTGTAAGATTTATCAGAAATGCATAGGTATGATAGAACAAATTTTTTATTTATGGACATATAGCTTTCATTGATTTAAGTTACCACAATCTAAGATTTTATCATTACTTTTAAATTTATTTGATTGCATTGTCTTAATTCTGCCTTTAATGTTATTTTATTAAAAAGTGATCACAGTTTAATGTTTAGCTTTAAACTGATATTTGCAGTTTCTGGCATGAATTTGTATAGAATTGAGTGTATTATAAGAAGGGAGCTATGCTAAAAAATGAGGAAAATAGTGATTGAAAGTTCTTTAAGGAAAAAAACACAGTATCTATGAGAGTAGGATAATTGTTTTTAAGTATTAATACTCTGAGATACTTCAGCTAGGGGGCTCGTTGCATTCTACAGCACGTATCATGGAACAGCACAGTGCTCAACTTTATACCTGAGGTGACCTTTCCAACAAAGGGAATTAAAATAATCCTTTAATACTCACACAGATTAACATACTTAATGCAGAAAATATGCTTTTTTGGATGATCACAGATCTGTCACTCTGGGCTTAAAAAGCAAGAAGGAGAAAGAAAAGGAAGAAGATAGCCAGTTAGTATGTAGTGTATTGGAGAGGAAGAAAACTCTTGCATAGATCAGACTGATCTTACCTCTTAAATCAGAGATGTAACTGTTTCAGCAAAGACAAAAGGCAGCGAGAATCAGATATTCCAGAAAGATGGTATGAGACCCGCGTGAGCACATGCAGCTGGCAGAGCTGAGCTCCCGTGAACCTAATATGCTTACTTTTCAGGGCTGCTTAGTTGGTTAGGCACCTTAAGGTCGGGGTTTTCCTTGGGAGGCACAAGGGGGAGCTGCAGCCCAGGTGTGACCCGGAGGCTGGGGGCGCTGCCCGGGCGTGTGAGTCATCTGTCTGCTCAGCCCTGGTGTTGCTCCTGGCACCGGTTGGGTAAGAGTCAGAGGCACTGTGCCTCCAGTGGCAAGCTGCCCTGTTAGAGATTCTGAAACTCTCTTGTTGATACCGAGGAGGAGGGTATGAATACGGTGCTGCTCAGTTTCTGCCAAGGGCCGACTGACTGTGAGCAGGATTGAAGGAACGGGACTGGGGAATACCCAGCAAAGCCGACCGAGCTGCTGCAGGGGCTGCCGGAGGAGATCCAAGGGGTGGAGTCCCGCAAGGCCGCGGCTCCACCGGAAGGACCTCCTCAGCGAGACTCTGCAAGAAATTACACATACCCTATTGCAAAGTGATGAACTGAGACTTTCACGAAAAGACAAAAAGTCAGAGGGAGAAATCAAGTGGGAGAAACCCATTTACTGCTTACAAGCAGTCAGCCACTTCTGCTCGCTCCTGTCTCTCTGACCTGGTTACAAAAAAGGGACCCCACCCAGCCTCTCTGGTCCAGATATACCCTCGCTCCTGCCACCCTTGTTATCACCTATGGAGATGGACTACTTCTCTCCACCCCTTGGAAATACCTATTGATATGGACATACACTAAGAGAGATGATGGGAAATACTGCAGTTTTACCCACACTCAACCGTGTTAGAAGAAAAATTGAACTATATTTTTGTTCAATAGATGCCACAGAAAATATAGAACTGTTTTTCTATGAAGAGAATATCGATGACACTGCAGTAAAAATTGTAGGGAAAATGAACCGTTATAAAACTATAATGTTAGACAAGTAAACAAGATTTACACTGGAAATTTCTTGGGACATTTGAGTACTTAATAGCTTTTTGAAAATTTGTAAATTTTAGTATAGTGTTTTATTTTGTCATCCTAAATAAACTTCCATTTCATGCTTTAACTTGTATTGATAATTTTGTATTATTGAAATGCAATCCCTCAATTTGTATAAGCTTTTAGGTCCTACAACACAAGAATCTATTCTGAAAGTTGGGTAAAAGTATTAACCAGCAACTCCAATGTTTCATAACATGCTGCTATTAGTCTATTGGCAGGGTAATTTTTCATTTTGGGTAAAACTCCTGTCACAGAATATATGGCATGCTTGATTCCTGCATACACCTTGGGCAATAAATATCTGTTTTGGGCAGTAAATGCTCGTTACAACTCCCTTTCATCCAGTTCAAACCACCTCACCTATGGTCAGTGTGACAAGCTAAAATTACCCATAGTTTTCCGTAAGTCTCTTTCTGGGAACCAAGTCAAATACACTGGATAATATTCACCAACAGGTCCTCCATGGTAGCGTGAAAATATATAGAGTGAATAGAGTATTAGTTATGATAGCACATGGCTTCAGAGGGTCTCGCATTTTTTTATTTTTTTGTTTTTTGTCTGACAGTAAACAGATTCTTTAGATCATGGACTGACAAATCATGGCCTGTGGAATCCAGTCTCGGTGGCTTGCTTTGTGAAGACTGCAAGCTAAGTCTGGTGTTCATATGAAAAGACTGCATTAACAAACAAAAAGGAATATGCGGTAGACACCATGTGTAGATTGCACAGACTCAAACGTTTGCTATCTGCTTCTTTACTGAAAAAGTTTGCCTTCTTGCTTCAGAGTGTGCCGCAGTCACAGACCGGGTCAATGGCCCACTCTCAAAATTTTCCCTTAATCAGGCTTCTCCTTGTGGCTATTATAGCAGAGCAGCCTGGCTGTCCGTATGGCTGGGACTTATGGAAAGAGGGGAGTGAGAACATTTTAGAGAGGGACAGAGAAGGTGATGAGGATAAGGAAGGAGGACAGGAGGAAATTAGGGCTTAAGAAACCTTTTTTTTTTTTTTGCTATTATAAATCTGAGTCATTCCTGACTTGCTGCATACGTATCAGTGAGTCCTTCATCACAGCACATTCTCATCCCTATTTCCTCAGTCTCGTGAACATCCTTCCTCTGAGCGAATTCTCCCTGTGTTGCTCCCTTAGTGCTGGCTCCAACTATTGATCTAGAGGTTATTTTTCTGAGGGTTATTATAAGTTATTTCATTGGTTTTCAGATTGTGTTCCACAGAGTCCTAGACTTAGACTGAGATATCTCAGGCACTGCCTTGTGGGGAAAGGAGGAAGGCAGGTTTTAGGACTTTAGGCCTTCCTGATTACTTCATCCATATTCATATGTCTCATCTCTGTCATAATATAAGTTTATTCAGCTCAGTAGCAAAAAAAGAAAAATCCAATTAAAAAAATGGATGGAGGAACTGAATAGACATTTTTCCAAAGAAGACATACAAATGGCCAGTGTGAAAATCACTCACCATCAGGGAAATGCATATCAAAACAACGAGAGGTTACCTCACACTTGTCAGAATAGCTAGCATCAAAAAAATGAAATAACAAGTGTTGATTAGGATGTGGGAAAAGGAAACACTTATTCGCACTATTGGTGGGATATAAATTGATGCTCCCACTATAGAAAACAGTATGGAGGTTCCTCAAGAAATTTAAAATCGAACTACCATATGATCCAGCAGTGCCATTTCCTTCCCAGATGTCACACTCAGCCTGTGTCCTACAAGGGGTCTTGTTAATAAGGTACGAGACTTTTTTTTTTTAGATTGTGGATTTATGCCATTTTTAATCTCTTGAATCTCATTATAATGGTGTTGATGGAGGGAGAGGTCATATTGTGTGGTCAACTACTACAGTAGATGATGTAGTAACTGTGTTCACCTGTATTTTTGAATTATTTGACAATGTTTTATTCTACTGTCCATTTTGTATACATTGGCCTAACAATTTAACATTCATCTGTGTGAGAATTAATGAAACTCAGGATGCTAGGAGTGTCTGTCTGTCCTGCACTATGACATCATTCCCTTTATTGTCCTCATCTTAGCCCCCTGCTCCTGTCTGCTGTGATGCCGGGCAGAGGTTCAGGGGCCCGGAGGTGGGCAGCTCCTGCTTGTCAGGCAGCCCACGGCCGTCAGCGGCTTCTGAGGCGTTTCCCCTCCTTCCTCGGCCTCAGTGCCCACATGTAAACTGCAGGGGAGATCAGTTTATTCATGGCTTTGAAAATAAATTGTATTTTGGTAAGTTAGAGTGGCCACAATGATCATGCCTTGCTTTTCCGTCCTGGAAGCCCCAAACATCCCAAATTCACCCCTGAGAATTACAGAAAGCTAAAATGAGGGTGCTCATTCGTTTTGGGTGCCTTCCCCTGTGTCACAGCTTCTAAGGAATTTTAAAGAATGCCCACTGACTGGCCTCCCTCTGTGCTCGAGGGCCCCGGGGGGGCTGATTTCACCTTAAACCCAGAACATTGTTGAAAACAGGCTCTTAACCCAGTTCCACTCCTATTTTCTATTTGGCCCCATAGGAATATAGATGTCTGTGTTCTTCAAGATGAGGAAGAAAAACCAGGTGTTTAGGGTGTCTGTGCTCAGCAGCTTAGGAAGACTAATGCCTTATTGATGTTCCAAGCGTCTTCATGAACATTTAAAGTAAATCAAGCTGCTAATTCACAGATTTTCTCACTGTGATGTTCCTCCTGGAAAATGAAACAAATAGTATCCATGGTTCATTGTGAGTTGTCAGAAAGTCTCCGTCATTCCTATGCCAATTTCTTCAGGCACTGCTCACATTTTTATTTAGTAAGAAGTTTGGGGGTTTTCTGAGCAATGCATACCCAGGTGGGAAGTTTTGAAGCTCCTGTGGTTATTAAAAAGTTATTGGAAGTTGTAGGTCTCTGCTTTTTTTAAACAGAGAGTAGTTTTCCAAGTCTTCCTTCAGGTCTTAGAGTCAGACCCTACATCCATCCCCATGAGGCATCCCCAGTGAGTCCTGGTAGCGGCATGTTACCTGTAAGCTGAGGTTCCATCTGATTCCACCTAAACCTATTACCTGTGTGTGAGTGTGGGCCAGTCATTTCTGTGTGCCCACGTCCCTTATTTGGACAGGTGTCCCTGAGAGCGCTGTCCATCATCCCCCTCTATCGGCTCACGGATTTCCCAGGAAGCTCATCCAGCCTCATCTTCAGAAACCTGAAACATATTTGTATTTATGAGAAAGCATCTGAGTGGTGACCCATGTCCATACTGTGATGGTCTTTCCAGTTAGACAGAACACTGTTCTCTGGGGTAGGAGAGTATCTCTGAACACAGAGTGTGCTGTGGTGTATATTAAACCAGAATGCAGCTGGGCATAAGGGAACGGCTAAAAGGGGGGTACTGGCTATCAAGCCGAAATACGCGTAATTCGGTTGACTACAAACTACTTTTAACATGTGATCTGGCACTCAACTTTGACCCCCATATATAGATGCTGGGGACCCCTCTTGGAGGTGGCTTGCTGTGACTGCCCTGGCCATAGGTCCCACCTTGACAGTGTGCATCCAAGACCACGGTGGGACTTAAGAGGGAGGAGGGGCTCCTCAACTTCTAAGAAGAGATGAATGAAAATCCAAATGGGTCCCTGGAAAATTATTTGTCCTATGTATTTACTCACTCATCATATGCTATTGTGCACAGCACAGGATGTAATGTGAGAGCTGTGGGTGGCTTAGATACGGGTCACAAACACCGCCCTTTAGGGCATTGATGAACTAGTGCTGCAGGGACAGTAGTTATGAAAATAGCGAATACAATGCAAATATAATATATTCTAATAGAAGCTGCTCTTTATAATACTAATTGTGCTTTTATTATACATCCTATGATAATATATTAAGGTTAAATTGTCAGACCAACTCATATTCAAATATATTTAGTATGGCAAAACATATAACTTTAATGCAGTGCAAAATGGGACACATTTAAATTGGGTGAGTAGAATCATGTGGCACCACTGATTTTCAATAAATATGTAAATAAATATAAACTAATTTTTGAATTAGATTTGGCAACTTTCAAAATAGAACTTTAAAGACTCTTTAATGGAGACTTCTAGCTTGTGAAAGTGATACAGGCATAGTTAAGATGTATATTGTTTTATTAATTTCTAACCAGTGCTTAGGATCTGAGCATACGGGCATGTATGTAAATGCACAGGGTAATCAGCAAGGCCCGGCTCATTGTTCTGATTCCCTCCACCTTGTCAGAATCTTTTCTAATTTCTTATTATTGTTTTCTAGAGTAGTTATTCTAAAAGTTATTCTTAAAAAAAATAATAATAATAACAAAAACTGTTAGTGAGAGCTCGAACCGTGGCCAAATCAAAATAAACAGTGCATTTTATGAATCAAGAGCCTGAAGTTTCACTGATAATACCTGATTTTAAATTCTTTTTTAGCTTTGCCTGGAAAATATTTCCCAGAGTGTACATGAAAAGTTTTTCCTCAGTATTCCTGATATCTGGTAGGGACACAGGATCATGGCAGGTATTGCCAAATATTCTGGTTAATACTAGCTGTCAGAACAGTCTCTAAACCAAGCCAACCCTTCAGTGGCTCAAGTATGACAGTAGTTTATTTCTTGCTTATGTAATGTCCAAAACAAATATTGCTTTATAGTCTTTTAAAAAAATTTAATTGGAATAAAATTGATATGCAGCATTATATTACTTTCAAATGTCCAACACAGTGACCCAGTGATTACATATGTCACCAGATGCTTGCGACACCAAGTGGACTTCCCCATTAGCATCCAAGATGCTATAATATTATTGGTTATATTGTATATGTTGCACTTCCTACTGCCAGGGATCAGTTTAGAAAAAGCATGGGCCCCAGTCCTGACCAATGGGACCCAGAGGCATTCTTCTGGAGACCGTTACAAGCTCTCCCCGCTCTTAAAAAGGGACACGAGGAAGGAGCGAGGAACGTGCTCTTTCCTGTGCCCTCTGGTTTGGACCTCGGGGCAGGAGGGGGTGATCCTTGTCCCCACTGCAATCCACATGCTGAGCTGGCCGCTGCTGGCAGACCCTGACTTCACCCCGGACACACTGGGACCCCCATCATGTCCTGACTGCTTGTCACATGCTGCTGACTCTTCTGTCCTTAGGGCCCAAAGCAGGAGCTAAAACCATCTCTTTGCTTATTTATTCCTGGTGCTCTCCTGCTCCTAAAATGTGAGCTCGCTGAGAGGAGCACCTGGGTCCCTCCTGTGTCGCTGTAGCCCTGCTGCATGGACCGGGCGTGGACACACACTGCGGCAGGCACCTCAGGGCCGGCTCCCAGAATGCACGAGGACGCGGTCCCTCCAGGGCGGAGACTCAGCTCACGCATTTCTGGGGCGCTGGCGAGTGGCAGGAGACCTAAAGCCTTTGCTGGCTCAACAGGCCAGAGAAGCCAGAAGACAGCTGCTTCAGAACAAAACTTAATAGGGTTTACAGATTGACATGGACAAAAAACATAACAGTGAGCCAAGTCATCACAAGACTATGGTATGCAGGCACAGGGCACACGTAAAGGGAGCGGGGCCTCTGGCATCAGCTGACGAGGATGCCACAGTGTCTGATGATGGCACTTCTCATGCATGTCTGCAAGCTGGGCTGGTCAGTGGGGCGCAGGGGAGGTGGGGGTGGAGGCAGAGGGATGCCCTGGACTCCTCGGGGAGGCGGAAGGGAGAGGTGATGGGGCCCAAGGTCCTCATCCCAATGATGGGCTGCCTGACCCCGGCTCACGGCTCAAATCGCCCCTGCAAGGGGCCCATGTCAGCCCCCGTCTCCCCTTCCTCCTCCTTCTCCTCCTCTTCCACCTTAAAGGCCTTCGCTGGCCTCTCCTCCCCGACAGTTGTTTCCATGGGGTCCTGAACTCGGTACCGCTTCATGTGGGGATAGCGAGTCCACATCTTGTCAAACACCCTGAAGAGTCAGCAGAGGACACGGGTCAGAGCAGGGGGAAGGTGGGCTGAGGGCCCACGGGGACAGGGCAGGCTGTGCGGGTGCATCTGGGGACAGGGCTGGTGCCCACCTCTCACACTCCCCACAGGGAGCGCCTTGGCCCTGGACGCACCCCGGAGGCTCAGGGGTCTGCTTGGGAGCAGCATTTGGGCTGGTGTTGGCCACAGATTGTCCCCTGCAACTCTCCGTCTCTGTCTTCAACTCAGGGGTTGGATGGTGGTTGCGTCTCTTCTTAGGGCTGGAAGTGGCCTGCAGAAGGGGCAGAAATGATATCAGGGTGCCGACCTTCCACCCTTCTAAGGGAGATGCTTTCCCGTGTAGGGGCCCCTTCCCCACCCCGTCTGGGTGGTCAGTAGCTGTCCAGACCAGCACTAAACTCCAGTGAGACCTCTTTTCCCTTTATTCTCTTTCTTTTTTTTTTTTGGGGTCTGTCTCGGCCAGCTTCCTTTTGACGCTCTTTTTCAGTCCCGGTGTCTTAGAAGATGTAGTAAACCCGACCCTCTTTTTCCAGGTGTAGTAATATTCTACACACTGGGCCACCGACTTTGTCTGGACCTGGTGAAAGATAACAGCAGCGGGCTTTGGGCACTGCCCCACACGCCCCCTCGCCGTGGGGCTAGGCACTTCCTGAAAGCTCTCCTGGAATGTCTCTACCCTTGGGCTTGGCACGCCCCTGGGCTACAAGGAGCACAGAAGCACAGAGTCCTGCTGCTGATGAGGGGCTCAGGGTGACGCCGCTGTAGCCAGCACCGTCCAAGCTCTGC